ACTCCAGGTGGGCGGCCGGGGGCAGGTGGGGACTGCAGTGGGCGGATGATGTGAGAAGGGCTGGCCTCTCCACCGCCCCCCAGGGAGCTGGGCCCCCAGCCTCCTCCGTGGCCCGAGAGCGCTGGGGAATGGCCAGTACTATAGCTGAGCGAGGGGCTGGCCGTGGGCAGGCCCTGGGAGTGGGCAGCTGGCCCTGGGTAAGGCTCGCCCTGTACCCCATAGAGCTGCCCCTGTAGCTGGTCCGGGGAGTAGCTCTGACACGTGGCTAAGCCAGGAGGTGGGGGGCCACTGGGGGGCTGCGGGGGCCCCCCTGAGTAGCTAGGGCCTTTGCTCAAGTCCTGTGCTTGACCCCCTCCAAACCCTTGCCCGTAGGCCTGGGGTCCTAGGAGCCCTTGGGGCTGCCCAGGGGAATAGGCCTGGCCTCCTGCCCCACCAGCCCCAGAGGCCTTCCCGGTGGCATAGGCCGCTGCTGGCCCACCCAGGCTCTGGCATTTGGGCGTGGCGGTGGAACGGGGTGGTGGGGGCCTGTTGGCACCCCCTGCAGCTGCTCCATAACCGCCTTTGCCCGTCTTGTAACCAGGCGACTGAATGATGGGGCGGTAACCTCCGCCACCACCCCCTGCCCCACCTCCTCCGGCCGCCTCGGGGCCTGCAGCCCGGCCCGATGCCCCTGCTGTGGCTCCACTGGGCCCAGCCTTGCTAGGCTCCCCAGCGCCTGGGGAGGGCTCCCCACCGCCCAGGGGGCTGCAGGCCAGGTTGGCCCGGTGGCCCATAGAGGGGTAGCTGCCTCCGCAGCTCAGGTAGTGCTGGAGGGCGTGGGCTGGTGGCGGAGGCGGTGGGGGCTGGGCACTGGCCGGCCGCTGGTAGTGCTTGATGACGGTGTCCTGGCGGGGCAGGGCCCGCTCTGGCGGCGGGGGGCCCGGGGCAGCACCCGAGAAGTTGTAGAGCTGTGGGGAGGATTGCTCGGCGGCAGCAGCAGCAGCAGAAGAGGATGCCAGCAGGTTGAACTGAGTTGGGAGGTGGCGGGGAGGTGGAGGTGGGTCTGGGGGACCAGGGCGGTAAGGAGGGGTCTGGGCTGGGCCAAGACCAGCGGGCCCCAGGACACCGCCCCCCGCCAGGCGCTCAAAGCCTAGCGAGGAGGGCACCGTGGGTGCCTGCGAGGGCTTCAGGTGCAGCACGTCATGAGGGGAGAGGAGCCCATTAGCTGGGGGACTGAATGGGGGGTCCTGGAGGCTGAGGGACGAGGGCACTGGGAAGGGGCGGCTGCCGAAGGAAGCCGGGTGCTGGTAGGCCGACAGGGCAGAGGAAGATGGAAAGGTGCTGGAACCCGGCAGGGCACCTGAGATGAAGAGCTCCGTGGGGCCTGGCGTGTGCATGGCTAGGGATGATGGAGGAGACCATAGGTCAGAGTGGACCACAAGCCAGCCCCACCCTGGCCCTCCTGGGCCGGCAGTGGGCTTACCTGTTTGCCAGGAAGGACTGCGAAACTGGGAGAGGAGAGAGGAGGCAGAGGGGCCAGGCTGGGGGCCCCGGGACTCCAGGGCCGAGATGAGGTTCATGACGGAGGCGTCGGGCCCTGCTGAGCCCGCGTGGTGGAGGCCAGTGTCAAAGAGTCCAGAGAGGCCTGGCCAGGGACAGAAGGGTAGAGGCAGCTAGGTGTGGGATACGGCAGGGTTTTGAAAGGGAAAAGAAAAAGGCAAGCAGGCTCAGAGAAAGGGGTCGAAGGGAAGGAAAAAGGTAAATTCAAAGAGGAGAAAGTGGAAATGGTAAGTGGGATGGGATGTAACATAATAACAAAGGCAGGGAGCCCTAGTGAGGAAAAGTTAACAAAGAAGTAGAAAAATCTAGAAGTGAAGAAAGTGGGAGCAAAAAGGGCAGAGAGTCCTTGGGGGTGGGGGGAGTGATGGCAAGGGATCCGGGCATTTCCAGCAAGGGAAAGGGATGGGATGACCGGAACCAGAAGACAAGTCGAAAGAGGTTGAGTCCACATAAGAGGATCGAGAAAAAAAGATGGGGAGGAAAAAAGGGAGGGAGGCAACCGGGAGAGTCAAGCATCAAACTGGGCAACGTAGCTCGCTGCTGGTCTATCTAGGAAGGAGGGGAGCAGAATCACAGGAGGGGGACCAATCGGAAACGTTAGAGGCAGGGGCAGAGAAGGAGAACAACGTAGTGGGCAAATCTAAGGAAAAAGGGGGCGGTCCAAAGCATCGGAGCCAATCAGGAAGCAATGGAATCAGGAAGAAAGAATTCACAGAACCAAGGAGCCAAGAGGATGGGCAAACCCAAAGGGAAAGGATTGGGGTGAGCTGGGGAGGCCGAAAAGCCTGGAAGAGAAGGTGGGATTTGGGGGCTGAGAGGATGGGGCCAATTGGAGCGAAAGAGGCGGGGCCAGAGCCAGGGGCGGACGAATCCGGCGTGAAATTAAGCAGCCTCAGAGCAACCAATCAGAGGAGAGGCAGCAAGGGGCGGGCCAGGATGCAGGGCACGGCCAATTAGGAGGGGCGGAACTTTCAGCAACCAATCAGCTGCCTCGGAGGGAGGGCCAGCCCGGGCGGGGCGGGATGGGGGCCGTACCTGCCGGGTGGTGGTTGGTGGCATAGCTTTGCAGTGGGTGGGGGGCCGCGTAGGCCTGGCGGTGTAAGATGTCCGTCTCGGGGTGCGAGGTCCTGGAGCTGCCATAGACCAAGCTGGGGGGAAGGGGAAGATGTTAGGTTGTCCTCCGAAGGTGCCCTGGGAGAAGGGAACGCTCAAATCCCCAGGCGGGGCCGGGGAAATCTTCCAGGTGACTGGGGGTTATCGTAAGGAACCTTGGGCCGTAAAGTTGAGAAGACAGGGGAATCGGGGCGCTCAACTAAAAAGCCATAGAAATGGTCCCCACCCCAAGCCCCACTAAATAGAGCCCTCGTCTCACGTTTACGAACAGACATCACAGGGACGAGACAAACAGAGGGTGAAGAGTCAGAGGAAGTGCCTCAAGTTGAAAATGCAGACCTCCTACCACAGCCCGCGACCCCGCTGGTGACACAAGGCCCTGGGGCCAACCCCAGAGAGGCACACGGACGCCCCCTCTTCTGCAGACACGTGGGAACACACAGGCCCTGGGCCTCACGGGGTGGTGCAAACCGAGTCGGAAGCAGGAGGCAGATTGTTCCCCAAAAGGCAGGGATGGAGGGTGGGGAGGGGACAGGACTCGGGGAAAGTACCAGGTACAAGCGTGAACATGAACACCGTCCATCACCGGGGGTTGAGGTTCAAATGCATGCGCCTGTGCAAAGCCAGGTATGTATGCAAACGAGTCTCCAGCTCACCCGTGGGGAAGGGAAGATACAGAGCGAGGAGTCCCAAATGGAAAGTCCTAACACACGTGGGGTCATGCCCAGCCATGCTGGGAAACTCAGGTGTGTGGAGAAAGGGGGGGTCGGGGGAGCAGGTGAAGAGTGAAGGCGCAAAACAAATAAACAGCAGGAAAGGGGCAGATTCGCAGGTGAACAGGCTGCCAGCCACGCACGCAAAGGGCCTACGCTCCCACACACAACCACACGCCCGGGAAACATCCGAATCTTCCCATGCAAGGGCCGCAAGGGCCCGAAGCCATGGCCCAGACCCAAGAGGTCAAACACTCCACTCCTCGCCATCAACTAGAATTCTCTGCCTTTGGGGGTGGGGGAGTCAGAGGGGGCGTGTCTCAGATGCCAGGACCCCCCCCCCTTACACACACACAACCCCAGCTTAGGAAGGGGGCGGGGCCCCTTGCCCACTCTGCGCGCGGAATTTCGGGGGGGGCCCCGAGTGGCGCGGCCTCGCGCAGTCCCGGAACAATAGGACCCGGGAGGGGGGGCGCGCCCCCCAGGTCTCCGTTCTGATTCTCCTTGCCTTCCCACCTTTGCAAGAGCAGAGCCTGGGGCGCGGGGGGGAGGGGTCAGCAAGCCGGGAATCCAAGGATGGGGGGAAGTCTAGGCCTTGCTTCGCCAGTCCCTCCCACCTTCCCAAGGCCTTTCCGTCCGAAATTGTTTTGCACCCCCATTTTCCCGCTGCATCTCTCCCTTTGCATGCCGGAGCTAGCTTTGGCGGAGTTTGCAATTTGCAAACTGGGGCGGCGGCGTTGTTGCAAACCGAGGAAGGCCGCTCCCTTGCAAGCCGGAGGGGAGTTTGCGATGCACGCGTCGCCGGGCGGGCCTGGTCCGGCCCGGCCCGGCTGGGCCCCCACCCCTTGGTCCCTTCCACCAGGCCACCCTCGGCTCCTTACCTAGCTTTCGCTGACCTCTCGTAACTCCATCCCGCCCCGGTGCCGAGCGGGTCCCCGAAGCCGGCGCTGGGGTAGTTCCTGTCCATGAATTGGCCGCGGTGGAAATTGGGGGGAGGGGGAGGGAGGGAGGGAGGGAGGGGGCGCGCGCGCGCTCTCCTCCGCCGCCGCTCCCTCCGCTGCTGCTTTTTTTTCCCTTCTCTCTCTCTCTCTCTCTTTTTTTCTTTGCAGCCGCCGAAGGCCCGGGAAGGCCCCAAGCGGGGGAGGGAGGGGGCAGGGGCGGAGGGGCGGGCAAGGGAGGGGGTGCAGCCGCCGAGCCAAGGAGGGGGGAAGGGGGGTTCCCCCTGGAGGGAAAGGGGGGGAGGAGGGACCCCGCTGTCTCCGCCTTTGCCCTGCCGCTTGCAAGAGAGAAGGGGGGGCGCGCGCTCAGGAGGGGGCGTCCCGGGCGGCCCCGGGGTGGGTGCGGGCGCTGGGTGCTCGCTCTCTCGCCGCCGCCGCCGCCGCCTCCTCCTCCTCTGCGCTCACGGTGCAGCCATCTTTGCACAAGGCGGCTGGGGGAGGGGGGAGGGGAAGGGGGGGCGGGCGGCGGGGTGTCTGGCTGCGCTCCGCTTCCTCCCACAATCCCGTGCAAATGCAAAAAAAAAAAAGAGAGAGAGAGAGAGAGACAGACAGAGCGCAAGCAGGGCCTGGGGGTGTAGGGCGCTGCGTTAGTACAGAAAGCCAGCTCCACCGTGCGCAGACGCGCCCGGGAACGCGATTCAGTTTATTTGATTTTATTTTTTTGCATTGTTTTGCTTTTTTTGGTCTCCTTTCCATAGGCTGTTTATTTAGGGGAAGAGCTCAGCTCGTCCCCCGGGGTGTAATGCCAGCCTGCCCCCACCGAGCACGCTTGCAAATATGCCCCCCACCCTTTCCCTGGGTTGCACAGCGCCCCTGTGCGCGCACGGGGAGCGCACGAAGACATGCGTGTGCACAGGCGGGGCTCTGCGTGTCCGTGGCCCGTGGTACTGGAAGGCGATGGCCGTGTCACACCTGCTCACCCGCGAGTCTGCACACCCGGATTGCCCGCCTCGGTCCGAGTTTCCACGCGCGCCTACACCGGGGGTGGGGCTGGCGGGTACCCCCACAGTCAGGAGAGCGTGGGGGTCCACCAGGGCCCAGGACGCGGGAACACGTTGTCCGGGGACATGCGTGTATCCGTACGCGGCGGAAACACGTGTGCCAGGGTAGGCCTAGGGCTCGGGCCGGCGACCCCTACTCCCTCCACCCCCTCAGCTCAGCTCCGTCCAGAGTTTAAGAAGCCTGGGTGCTTCCGGAATCCGGTGTGAATCTGGGGCACAGTTCGGGGATCCCCGGCTCGGAAGCTGCCCTTCAGCGAGGCCTCCTGAGGCTGCAAGGTGGGGGGGGGGCACCGTGGGGAGTCAAAACCCGGGCTGTTTTTCCCCCCTCAACCAAGACCACTCCGACCCGCCCTGGGCGTCTCAGCCAATCCCGGGCCCTCTGGGCGCAAGACCCACCCTCCTATGAGGCTACACACACACACACACACACACACACACACACACACACACACACACACACACACACACACACACACACACACACACACACACACACACACACACACACACACACACACACACACACACACACACACACACACACACCACCCCCCCCCCGCTGGGCCACGCCCCCAGACCATGGCATAGGGCCCCGCCCCCGCTCTCCCAGCCTCGCCCCGGATAATAAGCCCCAAATTCCAAGCTCCGCCCCCGAGCCCACGCCCCTCCTCCGGCAGTGCCCGCCCCCTGCGCCCCGCCCCTGGGCAGAAGCCCCGCCCTGTACCTGGTGTAAGGGGGCGGAGGTGCGTCGTGCACGCCCGAGGCCGCCAGCGCCTGCTCGTAGGTGGGGAGGCCCGGCGGTAGGGGCGGAGGCGGGGGCAGGGGCGTCGGTGGGCCGAGAGAGCTCAGGGGGCTGACGAGCTCGGCCCTGGGGACAGAAGGTGCTCTGTTAGCAGGGGAAACCTACAGGATGGACAGGTTTGGGAGGAGGGAGGATTTAGGGAGACAGAGACTCTGAGGGTGGTAGGGGGACAGAGGTGGCAGGGAGCTGGGCCAGGGAAAAAGAGGGTCACCTTCAAGCGGACTCTACCCCCAGAAAAGTGCCTCGAAATGACAGGCAGACAGAGAAATCAACAACTGCTGACACAGACTCTCATTCATCGACACACATGTGCTCCAGATACAGGCAGAGTAATGCAGAATAAGCCCCGCAAATAGACAGGCAGACACCCAGAAACAGACAGACACAATACAGAGATACAACCACAAATTTCCCAGATGCCCTTTTACAAGAAATTCTTCCTAAAAGACCCCAGACCCACTATACTTCCAAGACAGATGCTCAAGCACCCTCTTAGCCTCTGCCACAGAGAAAGACACACCTAGACAAGTCATACAGACACACACAAACACAGGCTGCACCCTCTCACCACAGAAACTGACATACCACAGGCACCCATAGACCACAGGCTGCAGCCTCACCAGATACAATATCCAGGGTGATAATGACACATAAACCTGGTCGTGCAGAGACAGTCAGGCAGCAAATACTGAATGAGCTCCTACTGTGTGCCAGAGACCCAGGATACAGTCAGACAAACAGAGAGATGCCACAACTAGACAGAAAACCTCACAGACTCACTCTCCAGCTCTTTCATCAGCGCCCACCTGCCCCCAATCCTTGGTCCATCTCTTTAGATCGACCCGTCCTCTCTCCCCTCCTCCCTGAAGCCCCCTTACTCTTGAGGACTAGGCTGCTGGCCTCGACGCCGACGCCAGTGCAGATACCAAAAGGCTCCCAGGCCAGCGAGGACAATGAGGAGGATGCCAGAGGTCAGTCCCACAGCCAGGCCTGCTACGTCCACTCGTCCACGCCCTGCGGGCGGAGGGGGAGCCACAGCCTCAGAGGCTGCCACCCACCCAACACCCAAAGGCCTTTCCCTGGGGGGAGGAGGACTGGACAGGAAACAAGGCAGAGCTGGGGCCACTTCCCAGTTGTGTGACCTCAGGCAACTCACCTCACTCATTTCTGGGCCTCCATTTCCTGCTCTGTAAAATGGGACCCATAACCCCACCCTGACAGGTTGTAAAAACTCAATGAGATTATATAAATGCAGGAGGGGCCTGTGATAAGTTCATCCGGGACTAGAAAATACGGCAGCTGTGTCCCCACGGAGACAGAGGTCCCTCCTTGGACATGGGGCGGTGCAAGACCCTCCTAAGCAACCTATTTGTTAAGATTGCAGTTGACACACTACAGGGAGGGGAGGGAGCTCACACAGCCAACTCTGAGGCCCCACTCTGAGCGCTGCCAGATGTAGCAAATAACAATATAGGACACCCAGTCAAATGTGAATTTTAGGTATACAATGAAAACTTTAGTATAAGTATGTCCATGGGATATACTTATACCAAAAAAAAATTGTGTATTTAAAATTCAAATTTAACTCGGGGAGGGGGGGTCCTTATCTTATCTGGCAACCTTGGCTCCTCTGGAATGCAGCTTCTTGTACCAACCAGGCCTCTGGGAGGCAAGCCTCAACTCTGAAGGAAGAGCAGAATCCACAGGAAGCCTTCCGAATTTACCAGAGGGCGGGGGTGTGTGTGTGGGGGGGGCAATATTCATGTATCAATGGAGGAACTTTGGAACCTCCTCCCAGTAACAGATTGCCGGGTGTCTGGAACTCATGTGGACCCTTTGCTAAGGTGCAGCCCCTTTAGGAATCCAAGGCTTCGTGTCTGAGGAAAAGTGGGGGGGGTCGGGGCGTACCGGGAGAACACCAGCTTCGTGAGGCCTTGCTAGGTGTTGCGGCTGGGGAGACTTCCTTTAGCCCTGGATAGGGGGGCCCTCCTCAAATAGTTAACCCCAGGCTTTTAACTCTCAGCAAAAAGCACCGAGAAGCCAAACCCTCCCCATTCTGACATATTTCAGGTGGATTCAAGGAGCCACCAGGCCTTGAAAGGCCTGTGGCAAAGCAGCTACCTCCCCTAGCAACCAGGCTCCAATGGGCCCACTCCAGCCCAGACCTAGGGCCGGTTGCTAAGGAGCACCCACCCCTAGCAACCAGGCCACAAGGGGGTGGGGAGCCCGTCCCCGGAGGGGGTCCTCCGGTGGGCAGGAGGCCTTGGGTCCTGAGCCTGGCTAGGTGTGGTTGCTAGGGAGAAGGCCTCCTTAGCAACCAGGCAGAGGCTGGGATGGGGCTGTGGGGGAGGGGAAGCCAGCCAGGTAGTGAGGGCTGTGGGCTTCCTTGGCCGGCCTGGCCAGGCCTTGTTGCTAAGGAGCAGCCCCCACTTAGCAACAAGGCTGCAGCCCTGATGGGACCTCAGAACTCAGAGGAGGGGAGGGAGGTGAGTGGAGTGGGCAGGTGAGGACAGACAGGCATCCCCCACCTGGCCTGGACTGGCCAGGCCCCGTTGCTAGGGAGCAGCCCCCTAGCAACCAAGCTGGAGAAAGAGCTGGGGCTCTGGACTCCAAAGACGAGCTCAGGTGGGCCACTGCCTCTGAGCCCCACTGAGGTCTGATGGGCCCCAAGGCTGTAACTCCCCCACCCACCCACTCCTCCCCCTTCCTGGGGACATGGGACTTCCTCTGAATAAGGTGTGGTGGGTTCCTCAGGCAGGGGCTCCAGTCTCAAAGGAGGGGATTTCTTTACCAGCCACCTCCAGGAACTCAGGGAGCACAGAATTTGGGGTGGGGGATGTTCGTTCAGCCCCCACGGCAAGGGACTGCCTTAGCTGCACAGAACAAGAGATCTTGGACCCCACTCACCTCCTTTGCCGTTGTATATGTAATCCTCCCAGAAGCGCTCCTTGAAGGGGTAGAAGTGGAGGAGAAGGCGGAAAGGCAGGGTGTCAACTGGAAGATTCCACACCCTGAACCGGCCCGCCCTGATTTTTGAGACCAGAGGGAGGAGGGAGTTGATGGCCAGGACCCCCCAGGGCCTGGAGAGATGGAGGGAGTCCAGGGCCCCCAGGCCCTCACCGTCAGAGTATTGTCCTCAAAGCACTCCCGCGCCTCCTCCCAGGAACACCTCTCCTCCTGACACTCTCGTTCCAAGTTCCCCGGTGTCAGCAGCTCCAGGTCCCAGTGATTGGCGCGTGGGATCCGTCTGCGGCCACCCAGGAAGCTCTGGGCCTCAGGCGAGTCCAGGAAGACTTCTGGGCCCAAAGGACAAGAGAGACAGGAAACTGGAAGGTTCCTAAGACTGGGGACATAGAGGAACCTGAACCTAAAGGGATGGAGAGCTATGGGGAAGGGGGGGACTAGAGGTAAGGGCTCCTGGATCAAGGGATGGTGATGTCAGCGCCTGGACACCGGCCCTTCCCCCACTCACTCACCTTGATCTTGCTCCCCAGGGGCTGAGGTGTCCAGGCAGGTGGTCAATCCCAGGTATAGCAGCAGCAGAGAGGGGTGGCCCCTCATATTTTGTGGACACCTGGAACCAGGTGTGGTACAGACAACAGGTGCCTCAGCCCCTAGGGAATGAAGGCAAGGTCTCCCTGACGGGACTCTGGTCCATGACTCATAGCAATAACAGCAGACACTTACACAGCCGGTATTCTGGGCCAGACACTGTTCAAGGCAGTTTACCTCGATCAGCTCAGTTTAATTTTGGCAGCAGTGCTCTTAGGATCCCCATTTTATAGATGAGGAAACGGAGGCACAGAGAGGTGAAAGAACTCGCCCAAGGTCATACAGTTTGCAAGATTCAGAGGCAGGATTTAAACCAAGGGAGTGTGCCTCCAGAGACTGGAGCCGGGAGCTTCTCTTTTTCTCCATTGTGTCTGCAGAACCCAGCATGGGTTTTGGCACACAGTAGGTGCGCATGAACACGTCCATTGGCGATTGGGATTTCTCCCTTCCTGGTAATTTCCACGGATGCCTCTCTGTGCCCACTGCAGATCCACTCACAGAGATCAAAGATTGCAGGAGAGGCAAGAACAGAGGCCCATATTCTTGGGTCCAGGGGAAGAAGGGGACAGGGGCCCTGGATTCCTGGGCTTGGGGGCCCCCGAACTTCTGGGTCCCAGAGGAGTGGGGAGCCAGGACACCAGGGTCACCGAGCCAGGCTCTGTCTCCAGGGACATTCACTTACCTGCCCAGACTTGTGAGCACTGTCCCCTCCTCTTTACTCGGGGCCTCCTCGGCCAGTTGCAGCCAGCTGTGAAGGGAAGCAGGAGAGAGGGGCGGGGAGAGGAAGGCGGGGACCCCCACTCCTTGCAAGCAGTCCGTTCCCGGTTTCTGGCAGAGGGGCGGGGTTTGCGATTACCTGCCCTGGGCGGGACTCAGGTAAGGGACAAAGTACTTAAAGGGACCTTATGATGAAGGACCTAAGGTCCAAAGCTCCATAGGGAGGCCAGGGTCTCAGAGCCCGTGGGGGCACTTAGGGGGACTGCATATGCACCTCCTCCCCTGATACTCTGTCCCCCCCCCCCCCCCCCCCCCCCCCCCCCAGCTCGCCATGTCGAGCTAGGGAAATAAACGTCTAGGTCTCCAGATATCTACATATCTAGAAACGGGCGGGAACTGTATGCCTTGGTCCCTCGGGGTAGGTGGGTATCCGGTAGTAAATTCGTTTGCCGAGTTTATTTGAAAGGCTTTGACTTGAGCTTTCTTAATTGCTCCATTTATAAAATGGGGACAGAGGAATTGTCCCTTCTAAATTGTCTCAACTTGCAACAAGAAAAGTGGATGATATCCTTGGAGTACTGGGCTTCCCCATCCCTGGGGGAAGTGATTAGTCCTTAAACTCGGGCTTGGAGAGACACAAAGCCTGGGTAAAGCAAGGAAATTGCCTGCCTCGCGAAATGCCTAGTATGTACTAAGCGTGTCCGATATTCACGGCAATTTCACTAACCGGAACCTTTAAGTTGCCACTGACGTTTCCGGAGGGAGAAAGAGCAGAAGGGAGGACTTACCAAACCAGACGAGGTACCTCCGCAACTAGGGGCAGCTTTACTTCCGGTCTCTCCTGCTGGGCGGAAGTGGGCGGAACGGAGAGGGAAAACAGCGCTCCTTTCCGGTGCAGGGGCACAGTTGAAGAAGCAACGAAGGAACGAGGAGTCGTTTGTAAGGTTAGTTCTAGGTGGTGAAGGGCTTGTGTTGCTGGGATCGCCTTCCCGCAGGCTAGAGTCCTGGGGTCCTGAGGGAAACGGACACACGATTTCGAATTCCCGACGCCCTGTCGATCATTAATAGACCAGTCCAGGCGCCCCGAGTCTGAAGCTGAACTACAACTCCCAGCAGCCCCTGGAGGTAGCTTGGCCTCCGTGTGGCAGTTCCACGATGGATGGCGATGGGCCGGGGGCCCCGGGGGAAGGAGGAGACTGGGACTCCTGGCGGTCCAAGGAGTGGGAGTGGAGGATGAGGACCCCTTTCCTGGCCTCAGTTTCCCGACTGTGATGGGGAGGGCGGAGGATTGTGCAGTCGCCCGCCGCCGCCTGCTCTGCACCTTGTCGACAGCCCCTTCCCTCTCTGAGTCGGTGTTGGGTTGAACGTTTTTCTCGTGGCGCTTTGGGGTCAGCGGTCCTGGGTTCACATCCTGACGGGGCTGCCGATTCGGAGTGAATTTAGCCCTCGAAGAGTCCTGTAAGCAGTTTAATGTTTTGTTATGAAAGCGTTCAAACTTAGGGAAAAGTGAGAGTATATACGAATCCTTATCGCCCAGATTGGCCGATTATTATTTTTACCATATTGGCTGAGTATATATTTTTAAGTTAAATATATAAAGTAAATCTTATCCGTCATGACATTTCAGCCCTAAGTATTTCAGGATGCATGTGGAAAAACCGGGGACATTTTCTTACGTGACCGTGACACGATTATCACGTTTTATAAAAGCAACCGTGATTCTGGAATATTACCTATTACTTGGTCAATAATCCAATCATGTGTCTCTAAAATGCCTTTAAAAAAAAGTTGCATATGTTTGAATCAGAATCCAGTTAAGTCATTGCTGTTATGTTTCTTAAATTTCTCTTAATTTAAGACGATCTCCCTCCCACGCCCCGTTTTTTTCTTGGTGTAATTGATTCATTGAAGAAACTAGGTCAGTCAGTCTGTTGATCATCGCACCGTTTGAATTTGTCTTTTTGCTTCTTGGTAATCTCATTTCACTTATTCCGTCCTGCTGGCCTCCTTTTTATAAAATATCAGTTTTATTGGAATATCACATATTCCAACAGTTCACATAACGTATAGTTCACCCATTAGAAGTGCAAAATTCAGTGATTTTTAGTATATTCACAGAGCTGTGCAGCCATCACCACTGTCAGTTTTAGAACATTTTCATCACACCAAAAAGACATTCGGTACCCATTAGCCGGCAGTCCCCATTCTCCCCTCCCCCCAGCCCTTTGCAACCACTAATCTACTTTCTCTCTCTATGGATTTACCTAATCTGGACATTTCACATAAATGGATTTTTTTTTTCTGCCTGCCTTCTTTTACTTAGCATAGTGTTTTCAGGGGTCATTCATTTGGTAGCATGTATCAATACTTTATTCTTTATGTGTTCGAGTAATATTCCTTTGTGTGAGATAGACTTTGTTTTGTTTATCCATTCCGTCATTCAATGGGTGTTTGGGTTGTTTCCACTTTTTGGCTATTACAGATAAGGCTGCTACGAACATTCGGGTACAAGTTTTTATGTGGACGTATGTTTTCATTCCTACTGGCAGTAGAATTGCTGAACCAAATGGTCATTTTCTCTGTGACCTTTGGAGGACCTGCCCGACTTTTCCGAAGTGGCCACTCCATTGTCCATTCCCAGCCTCCGTGTGTGAGGGTTCCGGTTTCTCCACACTTCTTCTTGTCTGACTTTTCACTCATAGTCATCCCCGCGCGTGTGAACTGGCATCTCATTGTGGTTTTCGCTGCATTTCCTTCACGATGAATGAGGTGGAGCATGATTTCATGTGCTTCTCGGCCATTGGTGCATCTTCTCTAGAGAAATGTCTATTCCAGTCCTTTGCCCATTTTTAAATTGGGTTATTTGGCTTTTTGTCATTGAGTTGTCAGTTTTTAATATAGTCTAGATACAATTCCTGTATCAGATATATGATTTGCAATCACCACCTGTTTTTGTACAGCCTGCAGACTAACAATGTTTTTAACATTTTTGGATAATTGGAAAAAATCAAAAGATGAATAATGTTTTGTGACCCATGACAATTGTATGTGATTCAGATGTCAGTGTCCATAAATAGAGTTTTATTGAAAACAGCCATGCCCCTTCATTTACATAGTGTCCCTGGCTGCTTTTGCCTCCCAAGGCAGAATTGAGGAGTCGTGACAGGGGCTGTATGGCCTGCCAAGTTGAAAATCTTTACTGTCTGGCCCTTTTTGGTCAATCCCTGCTCTATCCTCTAACTTCCTAGAATTAGAGAATTTAAATCTAAAGTCTTGATTAAATTTAGGTTCAGCCATTTTGGCGTGACAGCTTCAGAGCTGGTAGCTTCATGTTGCCTAACGCCTGGTTGTCCTACTTTTAAGGATGGTGAGGGGCCGGCCAGGTCGCGCAGCGGTTAAGTGCACACGTTCCACTTCGGTGGCCTGGGTTCGCCGGTTCGCATCCCGGGTGTGGACCTATGCACAGCTTGTCAAGCCATGCTGTGGCAGGCGTCCCACATGAAATAGAGGAAGATGGTGGCCGGCCCGGTGGCGCAGCGGTTGAGTGTGCATGTTCCACTTCTCTGCGGCCGAGGGTTTGCCAGTTCGGATCCCGGGTGTGGACATGGCACTGCTTAGCATGCTATTCTGTGGCAGGCGTCCCACATACAAAGTAGAGGAAGATGGGCATGGATGTTAGCTCAGGGCCAGTCTTCCTCAGCAAAAAGAGGAGGATTGGCAGCAGATGTTGGCTCAGGGCTAATCTTCCTCAAAAAAAAAAAAAAAAAGGATGGTGAAACTAATCAGGGGCTTCAGGTGGTGTTTAGGACACACACCAATTCATATGTTGAAGCCCCCCAATGTGACTATTTGGAGATGGGGCTTCTACAGAAGTAACTAAGGTTATGTGAGGTCATAAGAGTGGGGTCCTAATCCCTGGGGTTCATGTCCCTTTAAGAGGAAGAGATGCCACAAGGTTCTCTCTCCATCCACCCTGTGAGGACAGAGCGAGAAGGTGGCCCGCCATCTGCAAGCCACGGAGAGTCCTCACCAGAACCCAACCATGCTGGCCCCTGATCTCGGACTTCCGGCCTCCAGGACTCTGAGAAAACAAATATTTTCTGTCTAAGCCCCTCAGTCCCTGGTGCTTTGTTTTGGCGGCCCCGGCTGACTAGTGCAGGTAGGAACAGCACAAACGTGCCGTTGTCGAGCTGCAGTCTCTCCTTTCTACTAGCGAGGATTAGCACCCCGCAAATGTCGAGTTCCCATCCATCTTTCTCTTAATGGCATCCGTTGACAGTCGTTGCCTGAGTCACCTGTGTCATCAGGGGTTGCAAAATGGTAGTTTCCAATTCTGTCATTCCTCCCACTTTTTTTTTTTTTTTTTTTTGAGGAAGATTAGCCCTCAGCTAACATCTGCTGCCAATCCTCCTCTTTTTTGCTGACGAAGACTGGCCCTGAGCTAACATCCGTGCCCATCTTCCTCTACTTTGTATGTGGGACGCCTACCACAGCATGGCTTGCCAAGCTGTGCCATGTCCACACCCGGGATCCAAAATGGTGAACCCTGGGCCGCCGAAGCGGAACGTGTGCACTTAACTGCTGCACCACCGGGCCGGCCCCTCCTCCCACATTTTTTATTTGAGCTGTTTGGTTTTGATCTTGAGCCACGTCCTGGAAGCAGTTGAAGGGAGTGACTTCTTCAAAGTTCCCTTGTGACAAGCTCCCCAGGGCTGGTCCGTCAGGGAGCAGACGGAGGAGTTGGTCAGTTAATCCCTCTGGGCGTCTGTTTTGTCCCCTGTAAAATGGGGAGAACCCACCTCAGGAGGTTGTCGTGAGGAGACGTTCGGACGGTGAAGGGCTTCGCGTGGGGCTGGTACCTGAGTGCTTGAAGGATGTGACGGTCGTGTCTGTTCCTTTAGTGCTCTCGTGATCACTGTATTGATCGGTTAGGGGTTAGTTCATCGATGACACACCTCGCCCAGCCCTAGGGTCGGAAGGGGTTAACTGAGCCAATCGCGTCCTCTCTGAGCACCCCCATGCCCCCGGGTGCCAGGCAGTACTGGGACCCACACTGGAGTCTGACCTGTGCCCCCTCTCGAGGGACTCCTAGTCCGCAGGGGGAAGTCCCCAGGGGTGGCGGCGATCACGGCGGTAACTCAGGGCATTGTCAGAACACAAGGGACACCCAACTCAGCCTGGAGGGTCAGGCTTCCTGGAGAAGGTGACACCTCGATGGAACCTGAGAGGAGGAAGGGGACAGGATTTCCAGGGGAAGGACCAGGCACACACTAGCTGTCCCGTTCCATGCGGAGAATCCAGCACAGTGCCTGAGGCCACCTGCCGCCAGGTGGCACAGTGGACCTTGGGTCAAGGCCAGAGCCTCAGATGCACGTGTTTACCCCCGGCTGCATGACCGTGGGTGCCTTCTTCGTGCCTTTGTAGCAGCCATTTGGGTTAGTGTGGGGTTTGCTGGAGTCACTAGTGTAAAATGCTTCGAACAGGGCCAGGTTCACCAAACTTCTTAAATATCAGCCATCCTTAAAGGAAAACCTCACATGCTCCCTCTTGCCGTCGGGGAACTCTCTCTTTCCCGCCTCCACACATCCTCTTTTTGTCACTGATTTCCTTAAGTGCAGTTAGCCCTTTGGGTTCCTTTAACACGGATGCCTCCACCCCGGGAGACGGCCTGCCGGCGTCCATCCATGGGACACACGCCATTCTATGGAGAGGGACTTGTAGCATCCTTTGGGTTCTCAGAGGGATCGCTGACCCTGCCAAAAGGTTCAGAACCACTGGTTTAGGATTCAAAGAATCCACTGCAGAGGGCCAGCCCAGTGGTTCATACGTTTCGCTTCAGCAGCCCAGGGTTCACAGGTTCGGATCCCGGGGCTGGACCTACGCACTGCTCATCCAGCCATGCTGTGATGGCATCCCATATAAAACAGAGGAAGATGGGCACAGATGTTAGCTCAGTGACAGTCTTCCTCAAGCAAAAAGAGGAAGATTGACAACAGATGTTAGCTCAGGGCCAGTCTTCCTCACCAAAAAAAGGAAAAGAAAGAAAGATACCAACTGTGGAAAAAGACAGTTGGGAGATAATCAGGGAATCTAAACACCATCTGAAGAGTAGATGATGTCAAGGAATTATTAATGTGTTAATGGTATTGTGGTCACCTGTGTGTCATTTGTCTTAGCGCTGCGCCAACTGCACTCCCCAGTACAGAAGCCACCAGTCCCCAGAGGCTGCAGAGCAGTTTGATATGTGGCTAGTGCCACCGAGGGGCTGAATTTTTTAATTATTTCATTTTAATCTAAATTTAAGCACTGATATTCAATTCAGTTTTCGGAAAACTTGTAAGTGTGTTTGGAACGACCGGAGCACGTGGATGTCTGTTTGCAGCTGTCACTTTGATGAAACCTAGATGGAGCACGAATGTCTCCAGGCAGAATTCAGCGTCGGAACTGAGATGTGTTGAAAGAGGAAAAAATAGTCTGGAGTTTGACGACATCGTACGAAAACAGGAATGGCTCCGCTTTTAGTCTCGGATTGTGAGCTTCCTTGGGACCAGAGGGCGGCTCCGGACTCTGGCTGCCCGGGTTCGAGTCCGGCTCTGCCGCTGCCCAGCGGGGGGCTTTTGGGAGCCTGGTCTCCCCCCTCGTGAAAGGAGCAGGATGATAAACCACGGCTGACATTCCTTCGGATGTGTCTCGTCTGAAATACTAGCGACAGGAGATGGCAGTAGTTCTGTTTTCTGTTTTGAAATGGGCCTCACTGAGGAGACAGTCTAGCGCGGGAAACTCCGAATCCAGAGAAATCCTGGCCTTGCCACCTGCCAGCCCTTCGACCCTAGGCCAGTGGTTCTCAAACTTTTTGGTCTCAGGATCTTCAAAATCATCGAGGACACTGAAGAGCTTTTGTTTGTGTGAGTTCTTGCTATCGAGACTTGCCGCATTAGAAATTAACGATTTTTTTCTTTCTTTTTTTTTTTCTTGAGGAAGACTGGCCCTGAGCTAACATCCCTGCCCATCTTCCTCTACTTTATATGTGGGACGCCTGCCACAGCATGGCTTGCCAAGTGGTGCCACGTCCGCACCCGGGATCCAAACTGGCAAACCCCAGGCTGCCGAAGCGGAACGTGCGCACTTAACCGCTACACCACTGGGCCGGCCGCAGAAACTAACAAATTTTTTTTAAATTTTTATTGAGATTATGATAGTTTACAACCTTGTGAAATTTCAGCTGTATGTTATTGTCTGTCAGTCGTATTGTAGGTGCACCCCTTCACCCTTTGTGCCCCCCCGACCCCCGCTTTCCCCCGGAAGCCACTAATCTGTTCTCTTTGTCCACATGCTTAACTCCCTCATGTGAGTGGAGTCATAGTAAGAGTTTTTTGAGAGAGAATCCACGCAACACAAAATTCACCCATTTAAGGTATACAATTCAGTGGGTTTTAATAGTTTCACCATTTTGTGCAACTGTCACCACTTTCTGATTCCCGAACATTCTCGTCACCCCCATAGAAACCCCTCACCCCTTAGCACTCCTCCTCATGCCCCCTTCTCCTGGCCCGTGGCAACCACCAGCCTGCTGTCTGTCTCCGTGGATTTGCCTGTTCTGGACATTTCGTATAAGTGGAATCGACAGTATGTGGCCTTTGGACCTGGTTTCTTTCACTCAGTGTAACATAGCAGACATTTTTAGAGCCCAGGGATGACAAGCACACGTTCAGTTAGCCATCGCGGTGATGACAGCCTCTGGCAAACTCCACTCATGAGAGAATGAGACCAAAAGCAAATACGTTTTAATGTTATGGACATAGTTTTGTGGACCCCCCGAAAGTATCTTAAGGACCCCCAGGTTCCCTGGACCTTACTTTGAGAACCACCGCCTTCACCTCTAAGCCTCAGTTTACCCATCTGCAAAGTGGCGATGGGAGAGACTTGAGAGTGGGGTGAGAGGCTGGAAGAGCTGAGGGTGTGAAGAGTCGGCACGAGGTCAGGGACGAAGCAGTGGTCTTGTGATGGTTCCCATTGTCACCTGGCAAAGGAAAAAAAAAATGCTCCCTCCACAGCTGTTCCTCTCGCTCCTGGAGGGAAAACATCCCGGTCCGCAAAGCCAAAGGGCACAAAAGCCCTCCTCTTGGCCACAAGACCAGCAGCCCGGTGCCAAATGCCGCAGAGGGTCAAGGCAGTTGACAACTAAGAATAGAGTGGGGAATTTGTCCATGAGGAGGTCAGCGCGACCTTCATGAGTGGCAGTTGGGGGGCTGGGGCGGAAGGCAGGGGGCCGGGGTGGAGGAGCGGGTGGCAGGTGAGCGAGGGGAGACAGCAGGTGCTGGACACTTGCTCAGAAGCCGGGGGCGAGGGGAGGGTGGAGGAGGGGGCCATGGTCCGAGTGGGGAGTCTCACCAAGCTTAGCTTCTCTGAGCAGCCTGGTGGCCGCTTCTGGGGTGATGGAAATATTCTGGATCTCAACTGGGGTGGCGGTTACGAGGGTGTTTACATTTGTCAAAACGCTTCCGACAGCATCCTTCAGGGCTGTGCATCTATACTATGTAAATATGCCTAAAACCAAAAATTGGCTTCTGGAAGAAAGACGCCAGTAGGGGGAGCGCGAGAGCTGTAGCTCAAAGAGAGGTTTGTTTCAAGTTTTGAATGCGAAAGGCAAGTTTCTGAACGCCACCAGAAGGAGGAAATAAAGATGAAGTTGCTTTTTAGATTCTGGAAGCCCTTGGTCTGCCCCCCTCTTCCACCCTGCCCCCGTGTGCCAGGCTCCGAGCATGACCCCCTTTAGCCCTCACAGCCATCCAGTCGCGTCAGCTAGATCGTCTGGTTATCCCCACGTTGACCAAAGGAAACTGAGGCTCAGAGAAGGAGAGTCACCAGTCCAGAGTCACACAGCGTGGGGGGCCGACCTTGGACTCGAGCCCACACAGAAGGTCATATTGCTTAAGCCTCCACGCGTTGATCCACATAACCCCCTCCTTCTCGTTTCATTTATTTATTCTTGTTTCTCCTCTAGTTAATCCCCTCCACCACATGGGCACCCGATCTAACGTGCGATCCTTTTGTTTGTAGGGGTCCCTTAAAATGTGTCGTGTTGAGCACGCATGGATTGTTAGCGATCCCGTTTTATTTCGTACCTGTTTCACCCAGCATTGTGTTCTTAAGATCCACCCATGATGCTTTGTACACACCTAGGCAGTTGCATCTCACGACTGGGGGGTCTCCAGGGTGGACAGTCACCATCTGTCCCCTCCAGGATCATCCTCATCCTTGCTCCCTGTGTGGGTGGCTCTGAGGATGCCTTTGGGGTACATCCACCCCAGTGCACAACTGCCATCGCTTACTTCGCGGAAGAACCGCCAGCCTGTGTGCCCGATGCTGACCCTGTCCGCTCTCCCCCAGGCATCACCCGAGGGGTCCTGTGAGCGACCCCCACATCCCCACCACGCCTTGGTCCACCCAGTTTTCCAAGGGTGGACCGCCAGCCTGATGAGAGTGATACCTCACTATAGTTTCATTTGAGGAGTCTGAGCATCTCTCCATACGCCGCTCAGTCAGTCAATTACCTCTTCATATCCTTCGCTCATTTTCCTTTTGGGGGAGCTGGTTTTTTGCCTGTTGATTTGCCAGAGTTCCACGGACGGTCAGCTCTGCTGTAACACTTGTTGTGAAATCTGAGAATTTATTCCAGTGCCCTTGATCCGTTAGGGAACAATTTGAGCATCACGCAAATTCCGCCTTTGCTTCAAATCACAGTGACTTCATCCACGAGAAGGACCACGGGAACCCAGAGACATGCGCTCGGTTGAAACGAGCGTGTGATCATACGCAGAACACACAAGCACACACACCCTGCAGGTCCACCAAGCGCCTCAGTTCCCCACGTGTGTCAGGAGCCACACCCATCCACTTTTGGTGCTAGAACTTTCTATCAGATTTCAGATCACCCTCCTCCCACCACCTCACAGAAACTCACAAGGTGCACCCCTCCCTTCTGACACCCACTGCTACCAGCCAACCTTGGGTCTTTTTCGAGGTAAAGTGCCATCTTGTTTTTTCGGAGCCTCTTGGTATTTCTTAACCAGTTATCGTGTGTAAAACTGTCCCCACCCCCAGCTGTCCCGTCTTGGGGGCAGATCAGCTGTGAGGGCCATAAGGGTCCAGTCCTCCCCGGGCGGGCTCCCTCTGGCCCCCACGGCCCTGCCACTGTCCCTTCCTCGCCCTAGGATGACACGCCACGGCAAGAACTGCACTGCGGGGGCTGTCTACACCTACCATGAAAAGAAGAAGGACACAGGTACCGGGTGGGAGGGCACCACCATCTCACTTGGCACTTCTGCTTGTACCTTCTGTGCCTGTCTCTGTCCCCCCACTGTGGGTCATGACCATATGAATAAGAGTCCACACGATCCAGCAACCCCCTCCCCCTGTGTGGGGGGCACTACGTCAAGTGCCTTCTGTATGTGAACTCATCCAGTCCCCCCACTTTCCCACTGAGGGTGGGGTCACTGTTGCCATGGCCCTTCCAGAGGAGGAAGCCGAGCCCAGAAAGGTGTATGCACTTGAGCTTGGTCACAGAGCCAGAAGGGCCAAGGGGAGTCAGCCGTGGGCCTCTCCACCGAGCTGCTGCCTCAGTGACGGCCTGAGTGACAGCCTGTCTCTTGTCCTCTGGGGAGCGACACCTTCCTGTTGTGCAGCCCCGTCCCCAGCACAGAGTCACACAGACACACAGCCTAAGCTCTTGGCAGCCTGTTCCTCTCTGAGTCCCATCCCCTCCCCCCCACCGAGTTCTCTCTGTGTCTCTTTCTTGGGGTATGGAGAGGAGCACGTCTCCCTTCCCTCCATCCCTCTGCCCATCTCTGTCCCCAGCGGCCTCAGGCTACGGGACCCAGAACATTCGACTGAGCCGGGATGCCGTCAAGGATTTTGACTGCTGCTGCCTCTCCCTGCAGCCCTGCCACGACCCCGTTGTCACGTGAGCTGGGAACACGGGTGGCGAGGACAAGGGGACCACAGGGAGAGGATGCACATGTGGGTCTGGCTGCCTCACAGCCAGGGCGCCCTGAGCAAGCCACTTAACCACTCAGAGCCTCAGGGTTCTCGTCTGAGACATGGGCATGATCCTAGGATCTGTGCCACGGGGTGTGGAAAAGATGACATTCATAATTGAGGACGGGGCTCTTGGAACATCTCCTGGCCCATAATAATGGCTCGTGTGTGGGGCAATGTAAATGTCCCACTTACATTACCTGCCTTGTAGGGTCTGGCAAAGGCTCGAGCGAGAGAGTGAGTCTAAGGTGCTTAGTCCAGTGACTAGATATGTGCTCAATTACGGGTCAGTTTCATAGAGATGGTGATGAGAGTGGACTGTGGTTCAGGGTCCCTGAGGCCACCTTCAGGCTCAGTCATTCACTAGAAGGACTCAGAACTCAGCAAAGCTGCTCTGCTCCCAGGGACAGTTTATTACCACGAAAGGATACAGATTAAAATCAGCAAAGGGAAGAGGCGCATGGGACAGGGTCTGGGAGAGACCAGGCACCAGCTCTCAGTTGTCTCTCCCAGTGGAGTCACAGGAACAGCATCGATTCCCGCAGCAACAATGTGTGACAACACACACTGAGTGTCACCACCAGCGAAGCTTGCCTGAGCCTCGGTATCCAGGGTTTGTATTGGAGGTTGGTCCGGGAGGCCTGGCTGGCTGCTGTGTGGCTGCCGTTGGTCTCCAGCCCCTCCAGAGGTTGAGCTGATAGCACATGGCCCCCCAGGTGAGCAGAGACACTCTTATCAGGCAGGACATGCCAAGGGCTTAGAAGTGCCCCCTAGGAGCCGGTCAAGGGCCATTTTGGGACATGCAGGGTTTGGACAACCCAGGCGTTCACATTTACTGCATGAGATTTCCCTGCACGTCAGAGCACATCACAGAGCGGGGAGGGTTAAAACACTGCCGTCCGCTCCTAGCAGAGCTGCACACTGTGAGCGGCTGCCTGTAAGATGCTGCGTGGGAGCTGATGTTGGCACGTGACCATTAACCCCTGGCTGTGTGGCCTGGGCCAGGCCCATGTTTTCTCACCGCCCCCCCCATCTCTCTGCAGCCCAGATGGCTACCTGTATGAGCGGGAGGCAATCCTGGAATACATTTTGCACCAGAAGAAGGAGATCGCCCGGCAGATGAAGGTGACAGCGGTGCGGGAAGGGGACAAAGGCGTGGGTGGGTGGTTTGGATGCTGAGCTCACAAGCAGAGCCACACTGGGCCTCCCGTCTAAGTTCCTTTTCCCCTCTGGGCCTCTGCCTGGTGCACTGGCCCCTCCCTCTGCTCCTGGTTCAGTCCTTCCCATCGTCCAGGTTTCAGCCCAAGCGTTGGCTCCTCTGACCTCCCGCTAGTCCAGAGCCCCAGGGTCTGCCCTTGTCATCTCTTCTCCTGCCACTTGTCACAGTTGGGACTCCACGTGACTGTCTGACAGGTGCCCCCTCCCCCACTAGACAGCAGGCCCCAGGGGCAGGGAGTGGGTCTCTCCCAGCTTGTGGCCCTAGGTTCTCAGTAAATACTTGTTAAGTGAGTGGGTGTCACCTCATCTCACTGGGCCTCAGTTTCATTGTCTCTAAAATGGGTTGACAGGGCCAAATTAGAGGACACTGCAGGGCATGTGGAAGATGCTCACAGATAAGAATTCTCTAGGTGTTTATGAAGCCAGGCCCCGCTTCCGTGGGTGGATTCGTTCTGTGGATGAGGGGACTCTGCTTTATCACCTTGTTTGAGGCACAGCTGGTCCATCTTCCTCCTTCTCCTCCTGGGTTTTCTGGAGCTTGGGAAACTCTGAGGGTCAGATTCTTGTTGAGTTTTGGGTTTTTTGGTTTGGGTGTTTTTTTTTTTTTTGGTGAGGAAGATTGGCCTTGAGCTAACATCTGTGCCAACCTTCCTCCATTTTGTATGTGAGATGCCGCCACGGCATGGCTTGATGAGCGGTGTGTCAGTCCACACCTGGGATCTGAACCCATGAACCCCAGGCCACCAAAGTGGAGCATGCCAACTTAACCACTACACCACCAGGCCAGCCCCTTTATTGAGTTTTTTGTCTTGAGTGAGTGGGTTCCCTCCCCTGTGCCCATGTCCTACCCACAGGCTGCTGGCTGACGGGGCGCTCCCTCATCGCGGGGACCATGTCGGAAGCCCTCCAGAGCATCAGTCACCATGAGTGTTCCCTCCTCACTCAGCTGGGTGGCCCAGGGCAGTGTTGGAGCTCAGTACTGTGTTAACTCCTCTCGTCCTTGCACCCTGCCCACACATCCTGCCGTCCTCACATGCTGCCCGCGCAACCTCTCATCCTTGCACTCTGCCCGCACATCCTCTTGTCTTCACACACTACCTGCACATTCATGGCTCCATAAATGTTAGCACTCGTTACTCTCCTGGAACTCGAGCCCCTCGAGGGCAGGGGCAGGTCTGCATCCGCCAGGACAGGGTGTACAGAACACACACGGTCTGATAAGTAAATCAGATAGTACACATACCTTATAATAAACACAGTAACAGCCCTCGGGTAACGTTGACTGAGCACTTACTGTGTGCTGGGCAAGGTTCTACGTGATTTAAAAACTCATCCCGTGTAACCCTCCCAGTGAGCCTCTGAGGGAGGTCGCCACTGTTAGCCCATTTTACAGATGAAGAAACTGAGGCCAGGAGAGCTCACAGGGCTCATCAGTGACAGAGGCCGGGTTTAAGCTCCAGCCAAGCTGCTGACCACTCTGCTGCCAAGGAATAAAGGAGCCATCAAGTCTCAAACACCCAGCTAAACACACAGGTGCCCTGCAGAAGGGGAAGGGACAAGCGAAGGGAGCAGATCCGCACATGCAGATTAAAGCTGCACACCCAGGCGGTCACCAACCTCTACCAAACAGTGCCTCTGCCAGGATCTCCCCTGTGTAGGCCTCAGTTTACCCACCTGTGAAATGGGAAGAACGCCCCCCCCCCCGGGTGCCCCAAGCCCACAGCCCCCAGAAGGATGCCTAGTGCCCTTCTCCCCTGCTGCCCGCAGGCCTACGAGAAGCAGCGGGGTGCGCGGCGGGAGGAGCAGAAAGAGTTGCAGCGGGCGGCGGCGCAGGACCAGGTGCGGGGCTTCCTGGAGAAGGAGGCGTCCATCGTGAGCCGGCCCCTCAACCCCTTCACGCCCAAGGCTACCACGGGCAACGGCCCAGGTGAGGGGGAGCGGACTTACAGGGGGACGGGGACCCGCGGGGCCGGGGCCTCCCTGGGGGCGGCATCTGAACCCCTCTCCCTCCGCAGATGATGCCCAACCCGGGCCCAGCGCGGGCCCCGCAGGAAAGGACAAGGACAAAGCGCTGCCCAGCTTCTGGATCCCGTCGCTGACCCCCGAGGCCAAGGCCACCAAGCTGGAGAAGCCGGTGAGCACCCCCCGCAAGCGCACCTGCGCCCACTTCGCCCGAGAGCCCCCTCCTTCCGTCTCTCCCAGGGACCCCATCCCCCCTCCCCGGGCCCCAGCCCTGCCGCTGACCCTGCCACCCCCCGGCCCGCAGTCGCGCACCGTGACCTGCCCCATGTCGGGGAAGCCTCTGCGCATGTCGGACCTGACGCCCGTGCGCTTCACGCCGCTCGACGGCTCCGTGGACCGCGTGGGGCTCATCACACGCAGCGAGCGCTACGTGTGCGCCGTGACCCGCGACAGCCTGAGCAACGCCACGCCGTGCGCCGTGCTGCGGCCCTCGTGAGTCCCCCGGGGGCACGGGGGCGCCGCGCAGGGGGCAGGGTGTGGCTGTCCCGCGGGGGTGTGTGTGGGTGGTACCTCTGATCGGAGCCCCCCACCCTCACCCTCACCCTCACCCTCACCGCAGTGGGGCCGTGGTCACCCTCGAGTGTGTGGAGAAGCTCATTCGGAAGGACATGGTGGACCCAGTGAACGGGGAGAAGCTCACGGACCGCGACATCATCGTGCTGCAGCGGGTGAGCGGCCCTCCTCCCCAGGGCCCTGCCCCTTCCCGAGGCCCCGCCTCCTCCCCGGGACTCCGCCCTCTTCCCCAGAAGGCCCGCCCCTCCAGGCCCCGCCCCTTTGCCCCAGGCCCCGCCCCTGCCCTGCCTAGCCCGGGTCCTGCCTCTCCTTGCGGGCCTAGGACCCCCCGCGGCCGCTTGCAGCCCCCCGCCTCCACCTTGGCCTTCTCTCCCTCCCAGGGCGGCACCGGCTTCGCAGGCTCTGGAGTGAAGCTGCAGGCCGAGAAGTCGAGGCCCGTGATGCAGGCCTGAGTGCGGGACACCAAATAAAGGGGCTGGGACACCACTGGCCGTGTGGCACCTTCCTTCGCTGCCCTGGGGCTCCGGGGGACACGGCGGACGAGGAGCCTAGCTCTGCAGGCTGCACTCCGGGGTGCGAGTTAGAAAGGGTGGGCAAAGCATATTTGATGAGGTCTCAGGTTAAGAGTAAAATCCGAATTGAACGGCAGTGCACGGCGTTAAAATTGGTTCAGAGTGGCCCGAAGTCCAGGTTCGAGCCGCTATCCTCTGAAGGCTACATAGGAGGCCCCCGCATCCTTCTGAGTTCTGCCGGCTTTGAAGGCCGAGAGATGTCCTGGCGCCCCTCCCCGAGTTGAGGGTGATCAGACCCCCAGAGGAAGTAGAGAGCTGTGAGAGCGAGCCCCTGGCACCCGTCTAGAAAAGGTGGCCAGGAACCCCCCCTCCCCCAGTGCCTCGTGGGGTGGGGCCAGTCTACAGAAGGTGGCCAGGAACCCCTCCCCCAGCGCTTCGTGGGGAGAGGAAGAGGAAACCGCATGGGCGAAGGCGAGGCAGTGAGGAGCGGGTGGGTCTGAGGAGCAGAGTAAGGGAGGGGAGAGGGTGGGAGGGGAGGTCGGAGCCCACCGCACCTGGGAGCTGAGGCCTGACCAGGAGGGCAGGGCGGCCCTTAAAGCTTGGTTTACCATAACCACTGAGTCACGAAAGCAGTCCCTGGGCAGTGTGGAACCCAGAGCCAAGCAAAGAGGAAAAACATAAAGACTTAACATTCCTGCCTCCCTAAGCCATACCCAGGTCCTGTCCTTCCAGGTCTTTCTCCGCGTGCGCGCTCACGAGTTTTTTCGACCAAAGTGAGATCTCGGGGCGCGAGCTGCTCTGTTCCGTGAACCATTTCTACCTTTTCATTCCAGTCAAAGGTCTTATCTCATGCCCGGACGCGGTTCACAGGCCCAGGAAGTGTCCTTGACCGCTGTCTGGTGCAGGCCCTGGTGGTGCATCTGGCTGCGGGGAGAGATTATAGCAGGAGGGCGGGTGGTGTCATCTTTGCACCCTTGGGGAGCCCCCTAAACCCAGCGTTTGCTCCCTAGACACTTCTGGAACCTTCCCTTGGTCTCCAAGAGTCTCACACCCCACTCTTGGGCTCACAGTCCCTGGAAGCTGACCCAGTGGCTGCTGACATTCAAGGAGCCCTTGACCGGCCTGTGTGGGCCTGTGAGTCTAGAGTCTGCTTGAACCCGTGCCGCAGGCCCGCAGAGGGAAGCCTGTACCCATGTCACAGAAGAGCCCACTGAGGCTGAGAAGACACAACTTGCCCTAAGTCACACTGCTCAAGGCCGTGGCAGAAGCCAGGTTCACCCAGAGGTCAGCCACCTCCGGAGACCCCTCACTCTGTCCCACCCTTCCCCACCCCCACCCCCTGCCCAGGGGTTCCCACACTGTCGCCTCACAGACCTCTCCGCCTTAGCAAGCTCCCACTCCATCCTTTTAGACCCACAATGCTTCAGATCATCCCTCTTTCCCTAAACACCCCCAATCGTCATTCTCCCAAGAGGCGTCACCCACCCCTGTGTCTTCCAGTTTTCTCTCTCAGCCCCGAGGACCCCGGTCTTGTTCATGGGTGCTGCAGACCACCCCCCACCCCGAATAAAAACTTCAAGGATTTCCAATCTTGCACCTTTATTTTCACAAGGAATCGAAATCCCACTCTTATTCGCAGACCCTCTGAAGCACCCTTTGCCGGGAAGGGCTGGGGGGGTAGGAAGGTCCCCGCTCCAAGAAAGAGGTTTCCTTTAAGGTCTCGAGGGTGACAAGGAGAGGAAGCCGGAGTCTACCGCAGCTTCAGCCGCCACAGGAGAAGGGAGAGGCCGGAAGTGGAGACGAGTCTTGTCTTCTCAGAAGTTCCCTAGACCCTGGTCTAAGGTTTAGAGCAAGAAATGGGCGGGTGGGGCCGGTCTCGGGCAGGGTGTGTCTGCTGCTGGCTCCAGCCTCCACAGACCCACAGACAGCACTGTAAGACAATTGCAACTACTTAAGATTTCTAGATGGGGAGATTTGTTCGGGAAAGGGAAAACTGTGCAGACAGAGAGCAAATCCTCGATTGCCAGGGAGGGGGAGAGATTGACTCCAAAGGAGGGGGTTAGCAAGAGAATTTGGGGAGGGGTAGTGGAACTCTTCTGTACCTTGACTGTGGCAGTTACATGACTGATTTGTCAAAGTTCATAGAATTGTACACCAAAAAGAGTGGGCTTTATGTGAATTAAAAATAAAATTGAAGGCCTGGCCCCGGGGTGTAGTGGTTAAGTTCGTGTGCTCTGCTTCGGCAGCCCGGGGTACGTGGGTTTGGATCCCAAGCCTGGACCTACACACCGCTCATCAAGCCATGCTGTGGTGGCGTCCCACATACAAAATAGAAGAAGATGGGCACAGATGTTAGCTCAGGGCCAATCTTCCTCAGCAAAAAAATATAAAAAAATAAAATCGAAAAATGCAAAACAAGAAAAGGGATTTCATGTGAGTAGATTTCCATTTCTCTTTTTAAAAATCAACTCGGTGATTCCACGCCCAGGTGTAGGCCCAGAAAAGTTGAAAACAAATGTCCACACAAAAACTTATCCATGAATGACCCTGTCAACACTAATCATGAGAGCCAAAAGTGGAAACAACCCAAAAGTCCATCCAAAGATGACTGGAGAAACAAAATGCGGTCGATCCATACAATGGAATACTATTCAGCCCTTAAAAGGAGTGAGGTACTGATACATGCCACGATTCGGATGAACCTTGAAAAGCAGTGTGCCAAGTGAAAAGCCAGACACAAACGTCGCATATTGTATGACCCCTGTTATAGAAAATGTTCAGCAGGCAAATCCATAGAGACAGAAAGTGAATTAGTGGTTGCCAGGTGCTGGGGGAGGAGGGAATTGAGCACTAATTAAGGGGTGCTGGTTTACTGTTGGGGTGAAGAAAATGTTCTGGAATTAGTGTCGATGGATGCACCACTCATCAAGCCATGCTGGGGTGATGTCCCACATACGAAATAGAGAAAGATGGGCACGGATGTTAGCTCAGGGACAATCTTCCTCAAATATATATATATATATTCTTAGCTCAGTGAAAAAATAAATAATTAAAAAAAATTTTAAATCAGAAGATTCTGACTCAAAAAAAAAGCATTGTTAAGGAAACAAGAGAGGTTGGACCCACGGCCCACTGGCTAAGTTTGGGGCGCTCCACTTCAGTGGCCCGGGTTCAGTTCCTGGGCACAGACCTGCACCACTTGCTGGTGGCCATGCTATGGCAGTGACCCACATACAAAATAGAGGAAGATGGACACAGATGTTAGCTTAGGGGGAATCTTCCTCAGCAAAAAAAAGAAAAAAAAAAGAGACAGAGAAACAAGAAAGGTAAAAACACTGTTAGTCATCTGTTATCATTTCTATTAAAAAGAAGAAAAACAATTTGCACATATTTGCTTCAATCTATGCAAATTTCTCCCTGGAAGGAAAGACTGGTTGCCTGTGAGGAAGCCAGCTTGGTGGAAGGAAGACTTCGTTTTTAGTATAAAGCATCTTGTATATTTAGAATTTTGTATCCTCTGAGTATGTTGCCAAAGTTTAAAAATAAACAAAACGTGCAAAAGATTAAAAAAAAAAAAAAAAAAGAACTTCTGAGGAGGGGCACTAAGGGTGACGGGGTGCCGGTAGTTTTCCAACAGAGGCTTTTCTGTACAAGTGATTTGTTGCTATGTGTCAGTGTTATTTTGATAGCAAAACAAAACAAAACAAAACTGTTTTCAAACGTGTAGCCCCTAGAGATCTATAAATTTGTCCTACGCCATAAACCACCTCCAGCCACTAGGGGGCTGTCTGTTATCATAATTAAAAGCTTGGAGTTAGATATAATTGGATTCAAATTCCAACAGTCCCACAGATATAATTATAAACTGTGGGTAAAACAGAAAACAGTTATTTAAAGCGGAAATAATTTGTTCACTGGAAAGTGAACAAACGCAAGGAGAAATTTGAGGGGAATTGACACTCAGAGAAAAGGAAAGGCAGTGGGTGAGTTTCTCCTTTGTATGGCTTTTAGCCTGGGGTAGGTTCTAGTCTACACCGTGAGGGGCAGCCAAAACGCCGGGGGAAAATGCACAATCTTCCTAGCTCAAAGCAACACAGTCACAGGAAAGTGAGGGAGAAATCCTGGAAAATAGAAAGCCAGAGAGAGAGCATGCCAAATATTTCATATAAACCCTATATCTCAAATAGATATTTCAAATATCTAGCTGACCTGGAGCCACACCTGCATGGGCGACACTCCAGGAAGCTTAGCTAAACCTAAAAAGAAAAAAAAAATGAACTGAAATTTGAGCTACAAATTTTACAGGACAGACAGAGTTTCCAGAGATCATAGTTTGAGTTCAATCAAGTTAATGGGTTGCTTAGAAAAAAAAAAAAAATCAATACTCTTGAGAGGAGCATAACAGACTCCAGAGTTTCTACCCTGTATCCAGGAGACAATCTAAAAGTACTCAAAATAGAAAGAAATAGGAAAATATGACCCATTCTCAAGAGAACAGGCAATCAATGAACTGAGGCCAACTCTGAAATGACCTATATGTTGGAATAAGAAAAGGTTTTAAAAATAGCTGTTATAACTATGGCCAAGAACCTAAAAGAAAATATACTTCTAACAAATAAAAAGAAATCTTAGTGGAGAAATAAAACAATAAAAAAGAGTGGAATATATATTCTAGAACTAATAAATTTAGCAAGTTCATGGGATACAAGGTTAATAGACAAAAATAATTGTATTTCATATACTAGAAGCAAGAAATTGGAACATGAAATTAAAAAACCATTTCATATACAATCGCATAAAAAACGTAAAATACTTAGGGATAAATTTAACAAAAGATATAAGATCTTTAGTCTGAAAACTACGAAACGTTGCTGAGAGAATTTCAACACTTAAATCAATGGGAAGATATACTATGTTCATGGATTGGGAGACTGAATATTGTTAAGATGTCTGTTCTCCCCACATCAGTCTACAGTCTCACCCTGGGTTATTTCCATCTTTTTCCCAAGAGGGAAAAAGAAAATACGGGAGATCTATGACTTGACCTATAAGGGTTTTTTTTTCTATTTTATGTGCTTATGATTTTTTAAATTAATGGGCTTTATTTTTAAGAGCAGTTTTAGGTTTACAGAAAAA